GGGAGAAATATCAATAACCTCAGATATGCAGATGACAGCACCCTTATGGCAGAAAGTGAAGAGGAACTAAAGAGCCTCTTGATGAACGTGAAAGAGGAGAGTAAAAAAGTTGGCTTAAAGCTCAACATTCAGAAAACAAAGATCATGGCATCTGGTCCCATCACTTCATGGCAGATAGATGGGCAAACAGTGGAAACAGTAGCTGATTTTACTTTTCTGGGCTCCAAAATCACTGCAGATGATGGATGCAGCCATGAAATTAAAAGACGCTTACTCCTTGAAAGGAAAGTTATGACCAACCTAGATAGCATATTAAAAAGCAGAGACATTACTTTGCTAACAAAGGTCCATCTAGTCAAGGCTATGGTTTTTCCAGTGGTCATGTATGGATGTGAGAGTTGGACTATAAAGAAAGGTGAGCCCTGAAGAATTGATGCTTTTGAACTGTGGTGTTGGAGAAGCCTCTTGAGAGTCCCCTGGACTGCAAGGAGATCCATCCAGTCCATCCTAAAGGAGATCAGTCCTGGGTGTTCATTGGAAGGACTGATGTTGAAGCTGAAACTCCAATACTTTAGCCACCTCATGCAAAGAGCTGACTCATTAGAAAAGACCCTGATGCTGGGAAAGATTGAAGGCAGGAGGAGAAAGGGACAACAGAGGATAAGATGGTTGGATGGCTTCACCAATTCTATGGACATGGGTTTGGGTGGACTCTGGGAGTTGGTGATGGACAGGGAGGCTTGGCATGCTGTGGTTCATGGGGTCACAAAGAGTCAGACATGAATGAGCGACTGAACTGAACTGACAGATACTTTTTTTAAGAAAAAAACCGAATACCTGGTGTGAAATGTTTTTCAAATTGCTGATGGCATTCAAATATTTTTCTGCAAGCACTTAAGAATGTATTAACCCTTCTTAGCTGGGCTTCCCAAAACTTAATTAAGAATGAGTAGGGATAAAGGCATTTACACCTGGGGCCTTCCCCGGAGGTCCAGTGGTTAAGACTGTGTGCTCCCAGGTCAATCCCTGCTCAGAGATAAGATCCCACATGGCACTGGACTCATCATGTGGCCAGAAAAAAAAAAGAGAGAGAGATACACTCTATCTTTGCATTCAAGAACTTACAACTTATTTGTAAAGAGCTAAAGATACGAGAAACAATTCCTAACAATCCCCCACAACACAAGAATGTACACAATTGTTAGATCACCTGGTATAGAAGGGCTTCCCTGGCGGCTCAGACAGTAAAGAATCTGCCTGCAATGCAGGAGACCCAGATTCGATCCCTGTGCTGGGAAGATCTTGAATGCTATAAAAATTCAGAAGGGAAATCAATGTGTCAGAAAGCTTCCTAGGAGAAGTGGAACTTGAGCTTCCACAGAATCGAGATTCTGTCTTTAAACTCATCTGAAGTTGCCATGCTGCCGAGACGAGGTAGCAAACACAGAGTAGACCTCAAATTCTAGCCCTGTTTAGAGCATGTGTTAAGGCTTGGGGATTCTTGCCTGCATAATTCCCCAAGGGCAATTTTTCAGTCTCCTTTCAATCTTTTCTTAACAAAGAGAGGTCCCTGGTCTTGCCTAATAGGGTCACAAATTGTCCAACTAGGATTCCTCAACTTCAAACTCTGTCCTCAAAACTTCTAAGTTCATAAACACTCATACTCTGGCCTCCGCAGCAACACGTTCCATCAGTTGTTATCAGAATGCAAATAGCATTTTAAGCTCTCATGTGGAATACAACCCAGTCAGCATATAGATCACTGCAAAGCAAAAATTCATTTGTAAAAAGTAAATGTTTCAGGACTTCTCTGGTGGTGCAGTGGTTAAGACTCTGCGCTTCCACTACAGGGGTCAGGAGTTCCATCCCTGGTCAGGGAACGAAGATGCCGCATGCTACTAGGTACAGCCAAAAAAAATTAATTAACATTTTTTCTAATTACTTAGAAAAGCAAGTGTTTCTATTAAAATGCTGTTATCATCTACTAAAGGTCATAGCTTAGCTGAGAGAATCATTCTTAGAACCAATCATTAAAAATCCAGTGTGCTATTTTCAAAGATACTTAACGTTGTATCCAATTAAGATATTAAAACAATCAGAAAAGGATTTCATTGTGAGAAGCCATCTCAAAGCAGGCTTCCAGCAATCTCAATGAGTCAAAATATAATCATGAACCCAGGGCCTAACACAGGTTAGGTACTCAAAACATTTCCTAAATAAATAACCTAAATAAATAAACCGACTGAATGAGGGTCAGTTTTTTAAGACAGTCATCTATCTGCAGGAAACATAGCTACGAAAATACCTGGCCCTTTTGTACTTGGCTGCATACAAGGTCTATCCTAACCCAGCCCTGCCTTTAACTTCCTTGAATTTCTTTCTGCAAACTCTGCATTCAAGTCCCCTGAACTCCTTAGCTCCCTGGACCTCCCACACTCTGTCCAGAAGAGGCTAGGCAGTGGAGTGTAAGGGGCTGTTCTTGAGCTATAGCTTCAGGTTTTTATACAGTCTTCACCACTTACTAGCCCTAAGATTCTGGAGAAATTAGCTTGCTTCTCTGAACAGGCTTTCTCATCTGAAAGGAAGGAAATAATAACTTTGGGGGGAATCATCAAAATTAAGAAAACAAAGTGTGCTCCTGCTCAGTCATATCCTACTTTCTGCAACCCCACGGACTGTAACCTGCCAGGCTCCTCTGTCCATGGGATTCTCCAGGCAAGAATACTGGAGTGGATCCTTCTCCAGGGGATCTTCCCAACCCAGGGATCAAACCTGTGTCTCTTGCATCTCCTACATTGGTAGGCGGATTCTTGACCACTGAGCCCCACAGCCTGCCCCACACAAACAACAATAATTTCATGGTAGCTAGTATTGTTTTTTTATTTACATCTGTACTTAGGGCCCCACCTCCAGCCAAAGCCACTGACTTAAAATTATATGCAAACATTAAAGATACTCAAAGGACTCCTAAGGGAGAGTAAATAACAGAAGAAGGGGAAGAATTGCAGTAAGTGAACAAAAATAATAAAAAAGGTTTAGGGACATTTCTAAGCAGAGCAAACTGGTCTCCAGTAACATCGAAATGAACATATGATAGTTGGTGCCAAAGAGGACTTTGAGAAAAGCTGGGTAAGGTAAGGAAGTGTGCATTATATATTAGAAAAGGATGCATCAGTAAGAGCTAGAATTGAAAAGCCAGGACCCCTTTCATGAGCCAATACCCAGAGACTCTTCATGAAGGGAGGACAGTTAAGTACATTGACTAAAATCCCCACTCTGGACTGTTTCTTATCCAGCTCTCACTGACTCTCAGACTTTAGGCAAGATGCTCAAATTGCCAACCATCAATTTCCTCATCTGCAAAATGGGCATACACTTAGTGATGACACGTGGTTGTTTTAATGCTTCAGTGAAAATGTCGGCAAAGGTTTTAATGTAATGTTTGACACATAGTGAGCACCCAATTAATATTAGCATTATTCACTTACTCCTTCCTTCTCTCTTCCAGCATATGTTTACCGAAAAACCTATCATTATTATTGCGCTGTTGTTTAGTTGCTAAGTCGCGTCCGACTCTTTCACCACCCCATGAGCTGTAGCCCTCCAGGCTCGTCTGTCCATGGGATTTCCCGGGCAAGAATACTGGAGTGGGTTGCCATTTCCTTCTTCAGGGGATCTTCCCAACCCAGGGGTCGAATCTGTGTCTCTTGTGTCTCCTGCACTGGCAGACAGGTACTTTACCAGCGTCACCTGGGAAGCCATCATCATCGGGCATCATAAAAGCTAATGTATCAAATAACTCTGTCTCTGTTCAAGGTTAGAAGTCTGCTAAAAACGGGGCTACTCAACAGACAAAATTCAGTTTTAAAGAAAACCCTGGTATACATTTCTGTATGGACAACTTTTAACATTTGTAGAACTAATATTGAGCCATTAAAATGAATAAAACTACTTGAGCACAGATTAAAGTCAGAAGACTGAATAACAGCTAGCACACATTATGCAGGGAGAACTACTTAGAGCTCCACATACACAGACTCATTTATTCTTCACAACAACTGCATGAAGTAGGTACTGCAACTATTTCCATTTTGAGGATTAAAAAAAAAACTTGGGGCTCAGAGGAGTTAAGTAACTTCCCTAAGGTCACACAGTTTTTAGGTGGCAGACCGGAATTTATATCCAAGAGTCTACACTTAGTTGCTTCACTTTGCTACCGACTGGGTTGATGCATATTGGAAAACAGCAAAAACAGCATAAAGCACTTATAATCCTAAAGCACCTGCTTCCTTGCCTTCTCTCTGCCCCTGATGTTGCCCTCCTTGTCTTTCTCTCTCCCTCCAGCTATTCCCTTTTGCCATGCTCTTCTCATGACATCTATACAGAACACAGATTATACATGGGATGGTCGCAGATATATTTTAATAACCTAATTTGCTGAGAATTTTTTAAAAAATTTCTTCCTCTGGAAAAAAAAAATTCTTCCTCTGAATTATTTCAGAACTACAAAGAAAATAGTAATTGAGATCAAAAATTTTACTGTTGACCAAGAACATAAAATTCCTGTGTTATTCCCCTCCTGCTGACAAGGGAACTCCCTTTCGTACGATTTGAAAATTCTACCAGGACAGACTCATCTATTATAGATCTTAACACTTCCACCTTCAAAGACTATTTTCTTATGAAAATAACAAGTGTTCTATAATTTAATTAATATTTACTGTTTAGAAAATAGTGTTAAACATTATTACCACATAGCTCAAGTTATGAAGTTATTATCGTAAGAATTTCATTATAAAATGAAACACAGAGAGAACACAAGTAGTCTAAGAAACACTTTAGGAAGGAATTACTCAACACTAGTTTCTAATAATGAAATTCTCTATTCTAAAATGAAAATATCTTATCAATGTATACCCAGTAACAAGCCATGTTAAATAAATTTGGGATGCCAATACTCTGAGTGCTTGCAATTGTGAAGAAATACCATGTTCAAGTTCAGAACTGGGAAGAATTCAAATGCAGCCCTTGGATATAGATGAATAAGTAACCTATCATCCAAAGTTGGGGTTCTCTTTCTAAACTCTAAACTTAGGGACTTCTCTGGTGGTCCAGTGGTTAAGACTCCCTGTGTCCACTACAGGAGGCAGGAGTTCAATCTCTACTTGTTGAGTAGCCAAAAAGAAAAAAGAAAAAAAATATATTCTTGAACTGGATAAAAATGTAAAAAAAAACATACCAACTTTAAAAATATATATATAAATAAAATCCAAAGCTTACATATTTAGCAAGACAATTAAAGGCTATCAAGTGACCAAAAGGGGGGGGTGTATATGTACGGCTGATTCACTGTGCTGTACGGTAGAGACTAACTCAACACTGCAAAGCAACTCTATGCCAATAAAATTAATTTAAACAAAAAAGGCGTGCAAGAGAGAGAGTAATTAATCTTCAGCACATCCAGGGAAATGAACTATTCCTTAGGGGAAAGACTCACCAAGAGTGGAACCATGGAAACAGAGTTAGAGTTCGGGGCAGTGGATGAGGACAAAGCAAAACACAAATACAATAAGTGGGGAGAAAATATCTTTTAAAAGGCCCAGAAAAGACAATGAAAGTTCTAATTCAAGTACACAGGGAAGTTCCAACACAGCCACATTTCCCTTTTCCTTCCCTCTGCTAGGAAGAAAACAGGCATCTTCATCCTAAAGAATGTGGACTAAGCTGCTGATCCCAACTCCTCTGTGTTGGTTTCCTATTGCTGTGATAACAAATCCCTACATACTGCATGGCTTAAGACAACACAAATGCATCATCTGAGAGCTCTCCCAGTCAGGATCGAACCACGTCTCTTATGTCTCCTGCATTGGCAGGTGGGTTCTTCACCACTAGTACCACTGGGAAGCTGTAACCCCTGGAGGGCAGAAGTGTCAATAAAAGACGGGCATGGCTGCATTCCTTCTGGAGGTTCTACTGAGGAACCTACTTCCTTGATCTTCTGAACTTCTACAATCGACCTGCATTCCTTGTGGTCCTCTGCTCATTGTCAAAGCATATCACTCCAACCTTTGCTTCAATCATCACAATTCCTTCTCTCACTCTGACCCTCCTGCCTCTCTCCTTCCCTTATAAAGACCCTTGTGATTATACTGGGCCCACTTGGATCATCCCAGATAATCTCCCCATCTGAAGTTCCTAAACTTCCATCAGCAAAAGTCCCCTTTGCCACATAAAGGTAAATTCATAAATCTAAGAATTAGGACAAAGATATCTTTGGAGATTATTATCCTGGTTACCACCACCTTCTAGGTGACACTGAGCTATTTTTCATCTTCCCATTGGGGAAATTCTTATTTTAACTACAAGGGGACTATGACTCTAACTATAATAATACCAAGTGAAATGAAAGATGCAGTAAACAATTCTTACCAGTTCCCAATGAAACGAGGATCATCCTGGTTAAGGTGAACAGGATTTCTGGGATCAACATAAAAACCAATAAGAAGTCCACCTAGTAAATATCCCACTGCAGGACCGAGTGCTCCCATGACATACATGATGGCTGGGAAGACAGAAAGGGAAAAAAAGCAAAACACAAATACAATAAGTGGGGAGAAAATATCTTTTAAAAGGCCCAGAAAAGACAATGAAAGTTCTAATTCAAGTACACAGGGAAGTTCCAACACAGCCACATTTCCCTTTTCCTTCCCTCTGCTAGGAAGAAAACAGGCATCTTCATCCTAAAGAATGTGGACTAAGCTGCTGATCCCAACTCCTCTGTGTTGGTTTCCTATTGCTGTGATAACAAATCCCTACATACTGCATGGCTTAAGACAACACAAATGCATCATCTGAGAGCTCTCCCAGTCAGGATCGAACCACGTCTCTTATGTCTCCTGCATTGGCAGGTGGGTTCTTCACCACTAGTACCACTGGGAAGCTGTAACCCCTGGAGGGCAGAAGTGTCAATAAAAGACGGGCATGGCTGCATTCCTTCTGGAGGTTCTACTGAGGAACCTACTTCCTTGATCTTCTGAACTTCTACAATCGACCTGCATTCCTTGTGGTCCTCTGCTCATTGTCAAAGCATATCACTCCAACCTTTGCTTCAATCATCACAATTCCTTCTCTCACTCTGACCCTCCTGCCTCTCTCCTTCCCTTATAAAGACCCTTGTGATTATACTGGGCCCACTTGGATCATCCCAGATAATCTCCCCATCTGAAGTTCCTAAACTTCCATCAGCAAAAGTCCCCTTTGCCACATAAAGGTAAATTCATAAATCTAAGAATTAGGACAAAGATATCTTTGGAGATTATTATCCTGGTTACCACCACCTTCTAGGTGACACTGAGCTATTTTTCATCTTCCCATTGGGGAAATTCTTATTTTAACTACAAGGGGACTATGACTCTAACTATAATAATACCAAGTGAAATGAAAGATGCAGTAAACAATTCTTACCAGTTCCCAATGAAACGAGGATCATCCTGGTTAAGGTGAACAGGATTTCTGGGATCAACATAAAAACCAATAAGAAGTCCACCTAGTAAATATCCCACTGCAGGACCGAGTGCTCCCATGACATACATGATGGCTGGGAAGACAGAAAGGGAAACGTGAAATATAACCTTATGCTACTTCTTTCAGCAGTTGTCCAATTTCAGTCATACCATGTTTATGTCACAGTTAAATCCAGTTAACAATTTCCCAAAACAGAGAACTTTAGAGCATCTATGTTGACATTTGGGCTTTAAACTATGTCCTTTATTTAACTGTTGCCTGTCGTCGTCCTCTTAGTACATCAGAACTTCTTTGGTTGCTTCTGAAAGTACAGACCTGGGCTAGTTATTGAGGTAGTTTACTGGATAACCAAGACAGGCTATCAAAGTAGTCTCAAGAAAAGAGGGGAAAAAGGAATGCCACTCATCCCAGCTAGAATATTCTAACGGGCTGAGGGAACTGAAAACCAATTTTGCCATGAAGCTGGATTCAGTTGAACTGGTAAAGCTGCTTAATCAAGCACCCTCAAACCACTAATGTTTTCAAGTCACCACTTTATAATCAAAGAACGCCTCACAATGCATTTGGTTTATTGTTAATTGAGGAATCTTACCTAAAGGTTAATAAAGCTCCTTAAATGGCATGAGTGAGAAGGTCAGAAAGCACTAACCCACAGGTGAATTAGAAAAAATTTTAAAGCACATCTAAAGGGGGAGAAGAGGTTACTGTCAGTAGATCACAAACGTCATTCTGTCCAAAAACACGTGGTCACCAAAATGGGCTAATAGCAAAATAATAATAACAAAAACAAATACATCGTCAAGTCTTTATACTGTTTCCACTGCTGTTATTGAAATTTTTAAAAAATAATATATTGCTGCAGACTTTCCTGGCAGTCGAGTGGTTAAAACTCCCAATGCAGGTGGTATGAGTTTGATCCCTGGTTGGAGAACTAAGATTTCACATGCCTCTCCCTGCAGCCAATACATCAATACATAAATGTTCAAAAATAAATAAATAATATATTGCCAGTTTAAAAATTTTGAGATAGAATATGAAATTCCTTGAAAGTCACAGAAGAATCTAGCCACACTCCAAACATGTGTTTACCCTGTTGAAATCAGTTATTCGGGGACAAATCAATAAACACCTTTAAGATACTCCTGTGCACAAGGCAAGATCATAAACTCAGGTGACACATGCTTCTCCTTTCTGTTGCTATCATGCATTTTCACCAAAGAATAAATAAGTGATTTGTCATAGCCTTTAAATAGTCCCTATTTACCAGAAAGCAAATTTGAACTAATCAAAATCCTGACTTTATCAGCTGCACCTAAATAAGCATTGAATAATCTTATACTTCCTGTCACTCATAACTACAGATGGTAATTTAACACCTGCTCATACTTTTCTCACCATTTCAAAAGAGAAAAGCACAGTGTTTATGTATCTTACGGCATCATCTGCTTGTAACAATAAGACATTAGGCTCTTAGACTTCTCCATCTGTGTTTGGAAATGGAGAATGGAGGCACAGAGGAAAGTAACTGGCATTCTTTTGGAAGTATGCTTTTCATAAAATAAAATTAGAATTTTGATAAATATCTTGTTAACCTCTCTGTTTATAGCCTAAAACAGAACTCAAGAATAGCAAGTACTTTTTCTGATTCAGGTATTCCAATAAGCATATGAAGATAAAATTTATGTTTACACCTCCAGGCAAATCAGCGCCATTTACAACTCAAAACTGTAATGAGGACAAATTGTGACATGAATCATCTCCCTGAAATAGTTCTTCTGCCATGAAAGAGACTGTCTTACAAACACAGACATGGGGGAAAGGGTATTTCCGCCACACTGTTGATGCCTGGGGCACTTGCGTGCAGCATTTTGAAGTGCCAAGAAGCCATGTGCAGACTCTATGCTGGCAGGACCATTCGATCAGCAGTGAATGGAAAATCAATTAAATAATGTTCACCAAGAAACCCTAATTCTTTACGAAACATAGATCAAGATTTTTAAAATTCACCTATAGAATCAGAAAAATCCACTTTTATTATATAGTCAACAATGTTAAGTACAATGGGATCACTCTCATTAACAGAAATACACATCAATACTAAGTGTAAATAGGTAACTAATGAGAATCTACTGTATAGCACAGGGAATTGTACCCAGTGCTCTGTGGTGACCCAGATAGAAAGGAAACCCAAAAACGAGGGGGTATATGTACCGTATAACTGATTCACTTCGTGTATAGTAGAAACTAACAACACTGTAAAGCAACTGCACTCCAAACAAAATTTTTAAAGAAAATAAAGCACTACTGAATTAAAAAAAGTAAATATGGAGATCCTTCAAAGAACTCTTATAATGCATTCAAATCATGATCTATTTTATTAAATTGCAATGTGCATATACTTTATATAAAAATTTGTGTATGATGAAACATGTCATTATTTTATAAATTGAAAAAAGACTGGAAAAAAACTCAGTATTACATATATATACTCCACATAAAACTCTATGACTATATTCTGCTTTACTATTGATACATATCTATAAATAACTATATGGTATACATAGATGTATCTTTTTCTATATTTATAAATATATATCACTAAAAGTATATATGTACATATAACTTACTGACATGATCCCATTTAGTAAATAAATCATTCTCGCCATTCAGTAAGAGGTATGAAGCACATAACCCCAGGGTGTGCTCAGTCAGTCAGTTGTGTGCGACTCTTTACAGGCCCATGGACCATACCCCACCAGGCTTCTCTGTCCAGGTGGATTCTTTACTACTAGCACCACCTGGGAAGCCCCACCCCCAGTGTACTTTTCAGTAAAATACTGTGTACATGGCCCATTAGTCTCTGTCTCACAGCTGGAATCTATATTAGTAAATCCTGCTGGTTCTACCATCAAATCAGTTCTAACATGCAGCTCCCTACCTCCACCCTGGTCCAAGCCGCCATCATCACTTACCTGGAAAATTGCTTCAGATACCAGACAACTAGGGACAGGCAGCGCTCACACCCCAGAGCCCTCTGAAATTATTCAGACTAGTCAATCCTACACCTGCTTACCTTGCCTAACTCATTCTTCTATGGGGAAACCAAAATCAAGGCTCTAGCTCACAATCCCTCCCTCTCTGTACCTGTAACTGACCCTGGTGCTTCCCCATGCGGTTCCTATGGCATCATGTGCACACCTTCTTTCTTTAAATGTTTACTTACTTGGCTGCGCTGGGTCTTAGCTGTGACATTCAGGATCTTTGATCTTCGTTGCAGCACAATGAATCTTTAGTTGCAGCATTTGAACTCTTTGATCCAGCATGCAAAATCTAGTTCCCCAACTAGGGATGGAACTCAGGACCCCTGCCTTGGGAAAGCAGAGTCTTAGCCACTGGACCACCAGAGAAGTCCCATGTGCATCCCTTCTTGGTAACTGTGAGTAGAAAATTATCTTCTCCATGGTAATTGTCTCCTAATCTACTGGACTCACTAAACCTCAAATTTTCCATTAAAACACTGTATTTTAGAACAATATGATGGCTCAAGAATGACTACGTCCCTTGCTCCCTATCCTATGCCTCTGGCTTCTCCTTGGTCTGGATCAGCTTCCTCCCTTTCTGACCAACAGGTAGAGTTTCCCCATCAGTTGTTCATTGGTCACGGACTTAGATACTGAACCACCTGAAGTCATGATACTGTTCCTCTCTTCTCTTACCATCTCTTCACTGCTCATCTACCAGTTCTGTCCTCACCTGACCCCTAACCTGTCTCCTATAGTTTGGACATTATTTCTCTCCTGACTCTGTCTTCATCTCATATTGCCCAGTTGTGCATTGATGTCTTCAAGCAACGGCCCCTCAGACTTGATCTGTCCCCAGAATCTCTGCTCACCTGGTGCTGGCTGCATGGTCACTCCCTAGTCCTTTTTTCCAGAACATGATATTTATTGCTTGACTTCCCTGGTGGGTCAGACTGTAAGGAATCCACCTGCAATGCGGAAGACCCAGGTTTGATCCCTGGAGGAAGGAATGGCTACCCATTCCAGTATTCCTGCCTGGAGAATTCCATGAGCAGAGGAGCCTGGAGGGCTACAGTCCATGGGGTCACAGGGAATGGGGCATAACTGAGTGACTAACACTCAACTATAGCTGTCTGGCCCTCATGTGCTTACACTCCCTATCAATCAAAGCCCGGCTCCTTCCCTCTGACCTCTGGAAGCCCCAGAAATGTCTGTCCTTGGATTCACATCAACGATTACCTAGTGCTGCCACTGGAACAGGTGTGTATTACTGCTACGCCTCACTTCTTTATCTTTCCAACTAGGTTGGATGCCCCTCGAGGGAGTCAGCAAGAACTATGCATTTCTAAAATTTCTCCAAGACCTAAAACACAAAATAATTCACACAGGAAGCACTGAAGTCAGTCCAGTGGTGGGAACATGATCCTGGAGTTAAACTGCCTCAGATTAGACCTCTACTTTCCCCCTGTTTCTGTGCAAGAGCAAAAGTTATTTATTTATCCTCCACTTTCCTTGGGGGGGGAGGGGGCAGAAAAAGATGTTAAATAAGATTATGCACATAAAGTGCACAGCATATAATGAAAGTGAAAGTGAAAGTCGTTCAGTCATGTATGACTCTTTGCAACCCTATGGACTAGTTCATGGAATTACCTAGTCCAGAATTAACTAGTCCATTCTTTACCAGCTGAGCCACAAGGGAAGCCCAGGGNTGAAAGTGAAAGTCGTTCAGTCATGTATGACTCTTTGCAACCCTATGGACTAGTTCATGGAATTACCTAGTCCAGAATTAACTAGTCCATTCTTTACCAGCTGAGCCACAAGGGAAGCCCAGGGCATACAATAAACATTTAAGAAATATTACATTGTATTTTTTGTGTGCTGAAAGATGACCTATTCATTCTCTAATGAATATTAATTTTGTATATATCAAACATACATTTTTTTAACAGAAGGCATACTTAACCTTACAGTACCTTAAAAAAAGGACCTTTTCTGGAATCACTATCCCTTGTTGGACAGATGGGAGTGGGAAGAGGGAATATCTAGACCTCTC